GGATGACAGGCAGGCTCAGTGTCCCACGACCCAGGATCTAACTAGCTTCCAAATCCTGCAGGTCATGCGCTGGGATGGCTCTATGTTCCGTCTTCTGCAGCAACTTCCATCCCGAGGTTCCCATGTCTTCCAGCCACTACAAATTGCCAGCGACCAGTTGGTTATCCTGGGCAGCGACTTCGCCTTCAGCCAAGTCTTCCGCTTTGAGGCTGATAAAGGGATCCTGGAGCCACTACAGGAGCTGGGCCCACCGGCTTTGGTGGCCCCCCGAGCCTTTGCCCAAGTCACCGTAGGAGGAAGACGCTTTCTATTCGCAGCGTGCTTCAAGGGCCCCACGCAGATCTACCAGCACCACGAGTTGGATCTCAGTGCCTGAGGCTAGGAAAGATCCTGGAAGTGGCTATGGGTCTGGCAAGGGCATTCTGGGATATCCAACTATGTTTAGGGCCCCTCCAGTCTGAAGCCACGTTTTGGCTGAGGACAGATGCGGACATCTTGGGAGTTTAGCCTGAAACACAGCTTGGAGCTGGGATACAGAAACCAAAAGGTCTATCTGCTGAGCTCCAAGAGGTCTGGACACCCTGCCCTCAACATCCCCTTGGTCCTACTCTACATAAAGTACCGAGAGAGACCATTCCTTTCCACTCAAACCCAATCTGGCCATTGGTTTTCCTGGAGGAGTATGCATCTCTGTGACGTCACAGTTGCTGGGCAGTTTTTTGGCCTGGTACTTTGCTGCCTGTGCGCATGTCTGCTTCCAAAGGCTGATTGTTTTTACGCGTGCGCAGTAAAAGTGAAGCCGTAAAGATGAGTCTAGAGGCATCGCAGAGATCACTGGGTACCCTTTTCCAGAATGTGACAGGGGCGAGAGTGTATGAGTTCAATAAATAAATGCCCTGCGCACCTGACCTGTCCGTTCTGTGGGCTCAAGGGAGGAGCCTCTTGTTGAGTAGCAGGTGATGACCCTGGCTGGGATCCTGGGCAGGACTTTTGTTTTGAAAGGTTTTAGGCATTTTCTGGGGTGGCACATGGGAATCATTCTGGAGGCCCTGGTGGATACTGAGGCGTCTCAAGATACCCAGGCTAAGTGGAGGCTCTCACACTGTGTGAGTACTGTATATTATTAGTGGTGTCCTGGGAAATTACAAGTCTCACAGGGACAGCTGGTGAATGGAAAGGCCTCATGATAAAGTGGGGTCCTCTCAACTGCAGGGGTGAGGGGGGCAGCTAAAGTATCTGGGTGGCCCCATCATGGTGTTAACCATTCATTCTCAGTGTTAACCAGTGTACCCACACTGCATGCGATTAGGGTTCTTTTGCACTCCCAGAAGTGTCCCTAGTTTTCCACTAGAACTTAGGTGGCACAGGAGGCTGCCTACGGAGGGAAAGGCAAATCCCATGCCCACCATAGGCCATGGTGTGCAGGTCTAAGCGAGATTCGGCCACCAGCTCTTGCACACCGGTGCCCGCCCCATCAAGGCCCCAAAGCCCACACCAGCATCTGCCCACCTCCTCGCTGCCCGCAGCCGCACTCCAAGGTCCACACAAAGTCTCTGACTCACCTGAGTATGATGTAAAATCATTTTATATTAAAAACTGAACAAAGAGCCTGTTACCACGAGGGGTGAGACCAGGCTCGGGCAAGGCAGTGTCAGGAGAGGGAGGGGACCAGCCATCTTGGAGTTCAAGCCCACCTCCAGAGCCAGGACCTATGCTCTTTTAACTGGTCTGTCTTCAGCAGTTGTGAGCAGATCCTAGTAGAGGGAATAGGGTCGGTTTCTCCCCAGTCCTTCCCCCCGATGCAGGCAGGCTCTCACTCCTGCTTCCACTCGTGACCATTACCCCCATGTGCCACCCCCAGTCATCCTAAGTGTCATACCTGGTGTGATGAGAGGTGGCCCATCTCCTGGACGGTGACTGAGGAAATAAATGAGATAATGTCCAAATAAATCCTCTCCTGTCTATCCTCTCCCTCAGGGCTGAAGGAGTCTCAGGTTGCCCAGACAGTTTCTTGGCTGGTTTCCTACTGTACATCTATGCAAAGCTAAACGTACCAATAAAGACCAAAGCTTTCTCTGGATGATTTGCCGTGGATAAGCCCGGGAGACCCCAGGGCAGAGCACCCAGGCCTGAGCACTTTGCACAAGACTTAACCTTTTTTGAGCATGCCCAGAACCCATCTCACCTGGGTTTCTGGCTGAACTTGCATTTGCATTTGCCACCTGTCGGAGAGAGGCGTGGTCAGAGGAATGAACCGGAAGCCCCTCCCCTGCTCCCACCCCCGCAGAGCTCCGGTACTCACTCAAAAGGACTATAATCCCCAGGGCACAGAGAATCCCTGCACAGATGAGTCCGCCAACTCGGAGGCTGTGCCAATCTGAGAGGGAGACAGAGGGGACCTCAAAGCTAACCCAGCTCCTTCTCGCCTATCTCCCAACTCAACTGACAGCAGTAAGAGAGAAAAGCAAACCCACCCCTGTTGTGCAAGCATTGCAGTTCATATCCAAGCAAACAAGATACCTCATGCCCATCCAGGGGCAGAGAAGCCATCTGAGAGAAAGGGTTAGTATGGAGGACAGGAAGTCAAGGGGTGGGTCTTTAGAGAGTGTGCTCAGCCAAGGGCTCTCTGAGGAGGTCCCGTTGAAGCAGAGATCTATAGGAAGTCAGAGGTGGCCCTGAAGACATGGAAGAAAATGGGCCAGGAAGAAGGACTAGTAGGTGCTAAAGTCCTGAGCTGGAACAGGGGTGAGGGCCAATGGAGAAGGAGAGGGGACAGGACAAAGGGCAGCTCCTGATGGAAGCTGGAAACAGATTAGGGTAGAATTCCCTTTTTTCTCTGGAAAGATTTTCGTGACCAGCTTTCTGGTGGTTGATCTGAAATTAACGTCTCTTGTGGACTCAGGTTGTATCTGTGCCTGTCTTGAATTTCTCCTCAAAGGTGTTACCTTTCACCTACCTGGATGATCCGTGACCCAATTCAAACCCTCTCCTATCCTGGCCCCTGGGTCACTGTGAACTGTCAATCATCCTCCAGTGGGGCCCTTGGCACAAAATACTGTGCAGGACGGGGAAGAATCGAAGAGAGGACTCCATTCTTACCATAGTAGAAAGGGCTATCTTTATCTGCGAAGAGAAAGGACACACACGTGAATCTAAGACAGTAAGGGTCTTGGGAAAGTGGGGTGGGGAATGGGCTCTGACTCACCTTCAGGGTCATTGGCATTCAAAGTAGGCAGGCCTGCAAGGGACAAGAAGGAACAGGTTATGACTCGGGTGGCCTTAGCTGAGCCCTCAGCAGGATCGATGGAGGTTCGCTGCCTGTGAGAAATGTTCCACCCAGGGAACAGCCCCACCTCCCAGTGCACAGGATCTAACCTCTGGCTAGCCCTACCTGGACATGCACCTTTATGAAGATACGGCTCGCCCACCCACCCCCACCTCTGAGACAGGCCACCAGAAACAACGTTTCCAGCCGCGGGGCTGGGCCACGCCTCCCTCAGGAGACTCCATGCTTTTCAAGGCAGATGGCTCCTGTTCCCAGGGCTGTTTCTTTCACACCAGCACTGCTTACACACACTGCCTTGCTGGCCCCAGCACGCTACACTCCACAGTTACCGGGTCTTCTGACCTTTCCCCTTTGAAATGACTTGCAGTCAGCAACTTGACTACAGTCCCACATCCCTTTCCCAAACAGAAGGCTACTTGTGCCCAAAGAATGGTAAAGTAAAAACTGGTCTAAAAGGGCACCGGAAGGAGGTGGTGCAGCGGTTGCGAGCAATGACTGCTTTTGCAGAGGACCTAGGTTCAGTCTGCAGCATCCACATGGTGGGTCGCAACCATCTTTAACTCCAGTTGCACGGGATCTGACGCCCCCTTCTGGCCTCCACAGTTACCAAGAATAGACATGCAGGCAAAACAATCGTACACATAAATAATTTAAAAACAAACAAAAAAAGGTGGCTTGTTCCTAAGGAACGACACCCAAAGTTGTCTTCTGGCTGATACACTCGTAAGCGTGCACACGTGCATGCCCAGCTGCACACACGTAAGCACACACAGTCATGCACAGGCAAAGAAGAGGCAGAGGGGGTAAGGGAGGAGAAAAACATGATGAGAGCAAGGAGGAAGAATTCAGTTCTGGCTGAAAGCTCATCTGGCTTCATTCCGGGCCTGAGTTCCGCTAAAGGGAGAAAAAACAATGCTTAATTTTATTTAGGCACACAATGCTTGGGGCCAGCTCCACCCAGGCCCCCAGTCACGACTGTTCAAACATTAACTCATTTAAGCCTCACAAAGTCCCCTATGACTAAGTGACATTATTCTCTGTGTTTTCACAGATGGGGAAGCTGAGGCACGAGGTACTCAGGTTACCTGCTACATTATTGCTAGCCTCCCAGTTGCTTGTGGGATGGCAGTGTAGGGAGGCCATGACACAGCACAGCATGATACTGGGCTGAGCCTTCTGCTTGGTGCCACTGAAGATTAAATGGCATCTCCTCAGTGGAGGGAGGGAGGGAGGGAGGGAGAGAGAGAAAGAGAGAGAGAGAGAGAGAGGAGGGGAAAGAGTAAGAGCGAGAGAAGAGGTGAGAGGAGAGAAGAGAGAGGGGAGAGAACAAGAGAGAGGAAACAGAGCAAGAGAGGAGAGAGTAGAGAAAGTGTGTGTGTGTGTGTGTGTGTGTGAGAGAGAGAGAGAGAGAGAGAGAGAGAGGAGAGATGGAGAGAGGGGGAGATGAGAGAGAAGAAAGAGAAGAGAGAGGAGAGGGAGTTAGAGGAGAGGGATTGAGAGTGAGAGAGAGAGCAAGCAAGAGAGAGAGGAGAGCAAGAGTGAGTGAGCGAGCAAGAGAGAGAGAGAGAGAGAGAGAGAGAGAGAGAGAGAGAGAGCACACACTTGCCATTCTCCAGCTGAGATGCCTGGGGAAACAGCAGGTTGGGGGCCAGATACTTACCTGCTAGAAGGACCAATAGGCTCAGAGCAAACTCTTGCATGTCACGGCGTTGACCTAGAGGAGTCCAGAGAACAGGTCCAACCTTAGCAGGGTGACCAGGATGTAAGGCTCTGTACCTCTGTCCCACCTGTTGCTCACCAGGAACACAGCCCAGGGTACACACTGGAAGGCTGGCAGTGAACCTGACGCTTGCTCACTGGGCTGGGAGATAAGAAGACTCAAAGTCAAGTGGGGGCTGGGTGAGCACTCAGGTTCCATGAAAGAACAGGTCCTATGTGGAAAGAGGCCATTTTCCTGACAATGATATTGGGTTTTATTGTGAATGGATTTTTCCTTGAAGAGAGGAGACAGAACAATGTTTTGCTATGTCCAGACTGGCCTTGAATTTGCCATCCTCCTGCTTCAGCTCTCTGAGGCCTAGGATTACAGATATGCACCATCACATCCAGCTTGCTGTCCCCACCTTACAGGTGGAAAAACTGAGGCTCTGAGATATGAAAGTCGATGTCCAGGATGAGTTGATCTAGAAAGCCGGATTTAAACAATGCCTCTTTCCTAACTAGCTGTTCATAACTCAGAACTGTGAGGGCCTCAGGGTGTTTTGGGGAAGAGGGTGCCAGGAGCCAGGTGGCAAGAGGCCTGGGTTCTGGGAGTGGCTCCCACAGACAGCTTGGAGCCTGCCCGGCTCTGCCCACACACTGCAGGCTCTTAGCTGAGGCCTGAGCTGACTCCCAGGGCTGCTGGGTGCCTGTATGCGGGAAACAGTGTCAAGCTGGTGGGATATGTCCAGAGGGGGTCCTCCATCTTCTGTCCCACCCTTGGGTCTGTCCCTTGAGACCCCACTGAGCTTTGTCTGCAGTCCCAGCTCAAGTCGAGTCTTTGTCCCCTACCCTAGCCCTCTCCCTGCTCAGCCTCTGCGTACTCCTCTGCCAGCCCTGTTGGCAGCAAACACTACAGGTTCTCCAGCGAGGCTCACTCAGCACAGAGCCTCTTCCATACAGCCCTGGCTGTGACCATCTGTCTTTCTATCACCCTGGAGGCCTGTAATAAAAGCCCTGCCCTCTGTGGACCTCTCCTGCTTGCTCTGCTCAACTGTCCTGAGCCCACAGGCACATGTGCATGCTCTCACTCTCTCTCTCTCTCTCTCTCTCTCTCTCTCTCTCTCTCTCTCTCTCTCTCTCTCTCGATGGCAAATGCTAACACTCGTCCCCACTCCTCACCTGCTGGACACTGTCCAGTGACTTTATAGTGACTCCTCTCTTTAATCCCTAGCAGCCCCAATGTCACCCTTCAGAACTAACCTTTTTCACTCACACCAAAGCACACACTTGGGAACGGAGCTACCAGCCACCAATGGTGCAGGGGAGTCCCACATGCTCACACAGACGTCTCTATTTCCCGGGACCAATTCCAGAAGCCGAGAAATCCTTCAGCTTCCTTATGAATCTAAATCAGCGCAGGCTTGCCGTTCAAGCTACTAGGGAAGGTGAGGCAGGAGAAAGTCTACTTCAAAGCCAACCTGGGATACAGGCTGAGTTCAAGGCCATACTGAGCAATTTAGTGAGATATTGTCACAAAATAAAAAGTTAAAAAAAAAAGATAGGAGATGTAGCTCAGTGGTAGAGCCCCTGCCTAGAATCCCCCAGTGAGGGGCTGGGGGCGTGGCTCAGTGGTAGAGCCCCGCCTAGAATCCCCCAGTGAGGGGCTGGGGCGTGGCTCAGTGGTAGAGCCCCTGCCTAGAATCCCCCAGTGAGGGGCTGGGGGCGTGGCTCAGTGGTAGAGCCCCTGCCTAGAATCCCCCAGTGAGAGGCTAGCAATGGAGGTTGCTTAGCCTGCTCTTCAGGTCCTGGATTTAACACTTATCACACACACACACACACACACACACACACGCACGCACACGCACGCACGCACACGCTCTCTCTCTCTCTCTCTCTCTCTCACACACACACACACACACACACAAACCATGCACACACATACCCTGGACCCATTAATTTAGATTACACATGTTTCTTGTAGTTGATTTGGGGACTGTTTCTCGGACGTCTATGGCCCCAGCAAGCTTTGGGGAGCTCGAGTCGTGTTAGGGGTACCGGCTATGGATGCCTGTGCTCTAAGGCTGCCTCCTGATACTGTCACCCACGCATGTAAAACCACTGGCCTTGATAGTGGGCTCCTGCTGAGTGCCCAGCCTTTGCGGCCATTTTTCTCAATTCGAGCCTGACTCCCTCATTTTGTCTTTCAGCTTGGTGAAGCGGGCACTGTCCTTATCCCACACGGCCGTCACGTGGGAATTCATCCTAATAGCGCATGCTCTGTCTACACGGCTGTTGGGTCTCACCCCTTATACTTCTCCCTCCAGACGCCTCCAAGGCTCCAAAGGGCGCAATCTCCCATTACAGCAAAACTACCTAAAATTTGGGAGCCTGGGCAAGAGTGGGGGAGAGAAATGTCTTATCTGAGACCCTTCTTCCTCAGCAGTCTCGACCCTGACATCTGTACAGCTGGGAGGAGGGCTGGAAACAGCCGTAGGGCTAGGAGGGGAGCTGGAAACACCCATAGAGCTGCAAGGGGAGCCGGAAACAGCTCTCTACCCTCACTGTCCTGTCCTGCTGGTGCAGTGTTCTGAAGAGCTCCTGCTTCTGGGTGAACCATAGAGTGAGCCAGCCCACTCAGAGAGAAACAGTCTTGCCTGCGACACTCACTAAGCTCCCCTCATCCACTTCCTGTGGCAGTCAGAGGACAGCTGCTGTCTCCTCCTGCCTCTGTGTTCTCCCCTTCCCCAGGACGATGGATGGTCGTTCTGCAGGAGTAGGATGGATACACCCTTGTCATCTGAGTCTCCCATGTCTCCTAACCAAGTTCCACTTTACAGCTCTCCCCGACCAGACCTCTTCTCTCTCCTTGTGCTCATTTATTCTCCATGACCCCCGGTACCTGTCCACCCAGACACGCGCCTCCATCTGCCACCTCCCTCAAGGCACTTAAATTACTCTTCTCCTACTCAATTACCCCAGATATCCCTCTACTCTCATCCACTGAGAAACCCTCAATCATGATATTATGGTTTAATCACTTCCTGTCCACCCTGACACCCCGACTCTGTTCAGATACCTCAGGTAAACCCGGACTTCTCAGACCTGCCTCCCAGGCTTTCCCCAATCCCACTATGAATACCAAGTGGGTCACCCCAGTTGTCTAGTCCAGTCCCACAGAGGTGAGCCATCCGGGACACTCAGCTGACAGGAGAGGGTAGTCTCCTGTTCCCATAAAAGAAGCTGAAAGTTGGGAGGTTTTCAGGGTCTTTAACCCCAGTTTCTATGTAGCAAGTACAGTCAGAGGAGAGTCAGGGAGAGTGGGGGAGCAGAGGCAAAGGCTCTGGGAGGAAGGGTCCCCCAGGGCCGCTCACCTGAGTAGCTCAACAGGCTGAGAGGTGGTTTTCCGGGGAGAAAGCAGAGTAGAGACTCGCCAAGCCGTGGCAGCCTTTATCCATATTGCCACGCCCTGAGCAAACCTGGGCAGGCAGGCACAAGTCAGGTTTCCCTGAGGCGAGGGACGCCCCCATTCCATTCCTCTCTTAAAGAGACAGTTCTATCCATTCTCTAGCTATAATAGCCCCAGGTGAAGTGGAAGGGGATCAGGGTGGGCTGTGGGTTGGCATCTTAAAGTAGGGGAGAGGAGGGTGCGTCTGATCTCTTAAACATCAAAGGAGACCTGGGATGGGGAAGATTCTAGGATCCTTAATGACAGACCACCATCTTCCTGGAGTGATGTGGGAGAAAGTGGAACACCCGTGTAATCCTTCCCTGATTTAGGTTGTACTGAGGGCGGGGCTTTTCTTTGTTTGTTTGAGACAAGGTCTCTGGGCTGGGAACTCACACTGTAGACCAGGCTGGACTTGACCTCTCATCGAGAATTGCCCATCTCTGTCTCCCCAGGCTGGGATTTAAGGCATGCACCACCAGTTGTGGTTTTGTTTGGGGACGGGCCCTCTGGCATTGATAGAGAACTGTAGCCCACTCCCCTTTCTGCAGTCTTTGTTGACAGGGTTTAAGAAAAGATACTGACGTGGCCAAAGTTGTAATAGGAAGGAGACACTCAAATGGTGGGCAGGAGTGGGGGGTTATGGTTCTTGGGGTTCATAGACCAGGCCCCAGAAGACTGAAAACCGGACTGGTTTTCTATGTTTCTCCCAGGGATAAGGAGGTGATGGGTGGATGCTCTATCTACGGAGTGGGTGTGGGTGTGGATTCAAAACTGCCTTCCTCTACTGCAGATGAGCTCCCTGGACTCTACAAGCCCCCTCCCTTCCCTGTCCCCATCCAAATGGCACTCCTTCCGCCTGGGGTCTGTACAGGCTCCCACATGGTCCCTGTTGGAGGTGCCCCCTCCCCCAAAATTCTTCCTCCTTACACAGAAGGACTTTTGTCTGGGGGCTGGATGAAGAACAAGGCACCATTGAGTGGCTGGCAGAGGATTGGGGTCACCGGGAGGGGCAGGGCCAGGAAAGGGGTGGCCTCTACTTGGCCACCAACTGGACTTTAGACGACCCCCAACACTATGGTGAAGGCTGTAGGGTGGAGATCCAGAGTCACCAGGCTTGGGAGAAGCTGCCATTTGTGGGTGTGGAGAGGAGAGTTTAAGGGAACTTAGGGTCAAGGGTCTGCGAGGCAAGGAAAAGGACTCCCCACTTCCCATCAAGGCCTTCCTCCTTGATGTCGCTCGCTTAGCCATGATAGCCTGTGTTCCCTGAGGCAACTCCTGATCTTCAGGCTAGAGGCGGGACAAGGCTTCCTGTGGACCTCTCCTGAGTTCAGGACAGTACCAAAGCAAGAAGCACAGTTAGAGATAAAAACAGAGGAAGGACAGGCCTGGCAGAGGTCTGGCCAGGGATGGAGCGAAGAGAATCCCAGGTCCCCTTAGGGTATCTTTATTCCTAGCCACATCTTCCAGAAGTTTGATTGCTCCTGGGGAAAACAACTAAAACCCTTGGTGGTCCCAAGAGAAGGATGGTGTCTCCCTCTGCTGGACATCATAGAACTGCATGCACT